ACGTTTATTTTTCTAACCCCTTCATCAATCCAATGACACTTCTCTGCTTTCCATCTAATGCCTTTTTCCCATCCCTAACAGCTTTGACACGACTATTGTTCTCATTCTGCACAACGCAGAAATGTCTCAAGTGAAGATGTTATCTATCAGTTAAAATTCTCCCCTAAAGTTGGCTTTAGTTGGAGGATCTCCTCTGTAATGTGTGGTTTCAAGCCTGCTGCCCACCAATATTAATATTCCCATTCTCCCAGGCAGTGGCAGGACTGCACTTCCCTGCCCGCTCAGTTAGGTATGTCCCCTTGCTTTAGCCAATGAAATGCAAGCGGAAGTCACGGGCCTCACTCCCAGGCAGAAGCATTAGGAGCCAGTGCGCTATAAGTTCACCATGCTTCCTTCCCCTATTGACAGGTACCAGCAGTATTTGAGATGGTGGCTCCTCCCATCAGCCTAGGTCCCTGAGTGACTGTATGCAGCAGAAATCCCCCTACCTACCCACACGGGATGTGTAGCCTAAGCATGAAATAAACTGAAATTTTAAAAATCAGACTTCTAGCGCAGTGTTCTCTGGATGGCCCACACTGCCTTTGAGTGTGCTGGAGGCTGAATGCTGCTTGATCCACACCATTTCCTACACTCCCTTTGCTGACAAAAGGAGCTCTATTCTAAATTAAGTTGCAAAGGAAAAATGTCTTTTAAATTATTCGGGCAGTTGTAAACTGTTGGGAACCAAGACAAATACATATGGTCCTTGGAAAGTGAAGAATTCTTACAGAACTATACTAGAAAATTTATAAGCAGTCAAGCATGTCTCTGTAGGCATTTAAAAATGAAATTGATGCTATAAAGGCCAGATAGTCAAAAGCATTTACTAAAGAGAAAAGCCTTTAGCCAAGGATAACATAATTTATGAGGAAAATAATTCAAATATAAAAACTACACAATTGTTACAGTTGAGGAAGAAATTAAACAAGTTGAACAGCAGCATAGATAGCTAGTGATAACAATCTATGAGTAAAGAAGTGATCATTTTTCAAAAATAAAGCTCATCTTAATGATAAAAACAAAAAGTTTATAAAACTCAGATTGCTGTTGGTGTTTTTACTATCAGGTAACCAATAAAGGAATATTTTGAAGTAATTTAGAAGCTAATATTCATTAAAACCAGCCCTGGTGGTCTAGTGGTTAAGATTCGGCGCTCTCACCACCAGGGCCTGGGTCCTTTCCAGTCAGGAAACCACACCCCATCTGTCGCTTGTCATATTGTGACAGCTGCATGTTGCTGTGATGCTGAAAGCTATGCCAGTGGGATTTCTAATATCAGCAGGGTCACCCATGGTGGACAGGTTTCAGTGGAACTTCTAGACTCAGACAGACTAGGAAGAAGGACCTGGCCACCCACTTTTGAAAAAACTGGACATGAAAACCCTGTGAACAGCAGTAGAGCATTGTCTGATACAGCGCCAGAAGGTGAGAGGATAGCACAAAAAGACCAGGTCAAGGTTCCGCTCTGCTGTCTACAGGGTCACTGGGAGTCGGAATTGACTCCAAGGCACTAACAACAAATATTCATTAAATGCTCTGAAAAGATAATCCTTATGGTCCTTTTGTATAGAACCAAAAATGAAGTTCAAACCATATGAACATCAATAGAATTTAAAACGCATCATAAAGATGAAGTCCTTATAATCCCTGTCCGTGTCTATAAGCATGCATAACACAATCTGAGAAACATACTGAAAACAATTCCAAACCTTTTTTTCAGAAGTAAACAAAGAGCCATCTAATACATTTCCAGACCTGCCTTTACGTGGCTGTGTGTCACCTTGATGGCCCACCATTAGAAGTGCCTCCTGGAAGGATATTATTAGCCAAGTGCAGACTACCAGAAAGGAAGTCACTTCACACCTGACCTGCCTGGGATCCATTCTGCCCTGGCTCCTTTCAGACTTGAGAGCTTCAACTCTTTAGTAAGAATGGCTGCCTCTACAGGGGAGGAGTCTGGCCTTGTGGCTTTCCCCTCACAATCACAACAGATAATGATCATATTCTTAAAACAGAAATTAAACACACAGTGTAGAACAAGGAGGCCAAGGGGAATGGGATCTGTTTCTTCAAAAGGTCAAATCCTACCACAAATGCCATCACAATGACAGTTCCTATGGTGATATCTCAATTTTTCTTGCTAGTGGTAGAAACATGAGTTTGTCGATTTAAAATAAATAAAATAAAAATGAAGCATGACCCCAGTTAGCTTGGAGACATAGTTCAATACATCTTGGCAGGAAACTTTGAAACACAAACAGGAATGATGTCTAAGCTTGTCCCAGCATGGAGATGAGAGCAACGACAACAAATGCAAACTTACCATAAAGGTTAATCTCCCCCAAAAGAGGATCTTGGCATCAGGGAACGAGGCAAGGAAGCTGAGGGAATGAAGGATGGATGCCCTCCCTCAGCAAGGTCTGGTCTCTTCTTTTTTCTGGTCCTCTTTTGAGGGAAGCTTCTAAAGCGAGGGCAAATCAATTTTTGCTTTCCTTCTTAGAAGTCTTCCTTTGTCTTTGATGTTTTTTTCTCATTTCTCCATTTACTCTTTAAAAAGGCTCCTTTTAGAGCTCTGTGCCTTCTCTGAATGTACTTTTAGTAAACAAAGGATAAAACTAAGCCTATCACATGATTTCTGAGAGAGATAATTTCACGTCACCAATAGCTACTGTAAGGTGTTTTTATAGATTAAAATATCTTTTATTTTAACATTTTAAATATTTTTATTGATCACAATATCAATGCCACTTTAATCAAGCAATATTGCATGAATGCTTATTAAATGTTAACCTACTATATGCCAGGTGTGAGCTGGGATATTTCCCTTGATACCAAGATATTTCCCTTGACAGACCCTATACACTGGGTTCTTCTCTCTTAAAGACCCAGTGCTCTGCAGGGGAGCAAGGGCCATGCTGGGTGTCGTGCTCGTGATCTCTACAAAGTATAGGTTGAAAAGGATCTTTTTGATACACTGGATCACCTTTCCAACATTAGTGTTGGGAGAACAATAATGTTCTAAGTTGTTTTATGTGAGACTTCCACATGTGTTAGATTTCTGGATCATGATTTTACACGTGGCACATCTAAACTACGTAGTATCAGGCCATGACACAATAGAAATCTATCGCAGATTATTAGAGAAATCTCTACCATTCTGAATGAGAATTCTAGAGTTTGGCTTTATCACTGACTACTTATCCACAATTAAATTTTTAAATCAATGTGAAATATCTTAAAATATAATAACATAGTGTTAGATTTTTGAATTAATGAGTTTATAAAGGTTTACATATATATGTAGTCCTTCTTTTAAAGATTCCTATTTTTTGTTCTTTTGTCTGAATTATATAATAACAGTATAAAAGGACATTTAGTTCATCATACTTTTAAGCTAAATGGTTAATAACACTTGGGGTTTATTTGCCTGAGTCATGCACTGAAGTGGTATCTGTCCTAAGGAATGGATTCAATCTAAGCCAACAATCATTTGTTGAAAAGCTCCCGCATGTGAGACACATGCCTAGATACAGAAATTAATGACACAGACTTTAGCAAGCTCACAGTCTTGTGGAAGAGAAAAATACCAAAAATATTCTTTGATAAGTGCTGTATCCATACAAAGTGTTACAGAAATAATGGTAAGGAGGTGTTAAGGATAGCTATAGAAGGATTGACATTTTAAACCGCAACTGAAGCATAAGTAGGAGTTCATGAGAAAGATTAGCAGGAAAAGAAATTAGGAATGGATGGAACATTCTAGGCAGAGGCAAGCACAAGAGAAAAGACACAGAGGCATGGAAGTACACAGAATAGTGTGTGGCTTAGATTACACTCCCTTTAGCATAATGATAATAAATCAATCTGAATGGCTTTGAGCATATGGAGGTAACTGGAAGGAACTTAGTACATGGGCGGAAGAGAAAAATACCAAAAATATTCAACTAGGCAATTTCTAACTTACACAAAGCACTCATTAGAGTAATTTATAATTATAAACTTCCAACAAATAAAAATGAAAACTTCTATTAGTCCAATGCCTTAGATAGGACATACTTTGTTATACTCAATGATATCTTTGTTCAATTTTGACTTAAAATGCGTATGTCACTTGAAAAACATAGATCAAGTTTAACAATTGGAAATGATTGTGTCAAATGTTCAAGAGACTTTGGAAATCTGTTCTTTGGCAGATAACATTACAGAAAATTAATACTGAGATTTTAACTGGGCTTCCCTCCAATAACATAAAACCTCCTGTAATAGGATCTACTGTCATAACTTTCCCCAGACAGACAAGATGAAGACCCATCCTATCATGGTGAAGATATAAAAAGAGTGGTTCCCTTGACAGTTTCATGTAAGTTCCTTGAAATATTTTAAATATTCCTTTAAAGTATTATATTATAGATAAATGAATAATGGTTTTCAAAATGTCAAATTAACTTATATGAACTTGGATCCTTTTTTTGCCAAAGCTTTAAGGAAATAACTTTAAAAACAAATTTGGTCCAATTGATACCTAAGTCACAATCTGGATCATATTTATGCCAGACCAAAAATAGCTGCATAATGTTAATATGCATTCTCCCTGCATTCATAAATGACTCACTATGTTCTCTAATTACTTGACTTCTCCATAGCATATATCATAGCAGATATCCATCAACCTTGCCCAGGTTTCTTGAAAGTCTTCCCTTCTTTAGATTCAAGTTTACTGCTCTCCCCTAGCTCTTTAATTGCTCTCTCAAGTTTGTTGAAGGATTCTTTTTCTTCCACCTGCCCATTACATGAAGGTGCCCAGCCCTCTTCTTATTGTTTGGTTTGCTAGAGAGCGCAATGTGAAGACTTACAGACCAAATCTGACTCATGTGTATGTTTTATTTGTTCTTCAAAGTATTACAAATTTAAATTTAAAAATCAAGATATTTCATGTTACCATCCGGAGTTTTGTTTACATCTGAAAAATGGGGAGCTTTGTCATCATGTCTACTGGCTGCAGCTGAGCAGCAACTGCCCCCATTAGATAAGGCGTGTGATCTCCAGCCAGCCACTGAGCCAAGCTTCAGCTGTTTATCATCCTACAGTGGGTGCTCTTCATTCGTTTGGACCCTGTATGCACTGAGTTGATGAGCCCTGCCGTGGTGATGTACACAATAATTCTTTGTAAATTCCCACTCATTCCCATGACTCATCTTGGTGTGGATGATCACCATGGTCATACCTGCCTCGTTTAATCAGTCAGTCTATCATTGTTTATTGAGCACCTAATTCATGCCATGCATTATGCCAGTTGCCCAGGGTTCAAAACAAATGAGACGTGGCCCTGGCTCTAAATGAGCCCCCAATCCAGGGTACAGAACCAGGCAAGTACATCCGTCTCTGCTGAGCCCCAGCTCAGAGTCTCCAGACCACAGGGATCTATCTCACATGGACACTGAAGCCAACACAAACTTAGCTTGTCGAGCCTAAATTCCTGCAAGAGGTTCTCTTCTGGGCATTGCAGGTGGCAAGGGCAAGGGCCCAACAGCTCCTCTTTCACTTTCTCACTAAAATAAAGTTTTAAACCATGCATATATCAGGTCCTTGAAGGAACTGCTAAAAACAAAGCTCCAAGATAAGGTCTCAACAGCCATGCTTCAACGTCTTGGTTAGTACAGGTAATAGGATGCCCTAGCAACTCCCTCCCCCACAGGCCCTAACTTGTGGATAGAAAGGGTTACCAACCTGGGAACTAGGTGGCACAAGCAAAGAAGAGGGAGCTGCTGGAAAACCTCTCCCTTGAGTCTTCTTGTCCCCCTAATGGTGGCAAGGAGTATTCAACACATGAACAACAAAACCAAAGCCATTTCTTATAAACAGAGCCGCACCAGTTAACAACTGGGCTGAAAAGGCAGAAGGGAGATGATGCCACTTTGGACGACAGGACAGAAACAGGAAAAGGAATCCAGCAAAAACACCTCTTGAGGACATCCCTTCCACCTCTTGGAGGCTATAACCATAAAATTGTGCTGGCAGCATAAATGTGCTTTGGGTCTCTTTCTTTTTCCCTCTTTTGTTCTTAAAACATTATCCAGCCACCAAAGCGATTTCCTCTTGATTTGTGCCTGAATGGACCTTTTTGCCTTCCCTCCAAGTTCATGACATTCTGAGGTAAGGAGTGTCTTAAATTCCTGTGTCCTAAGCCTAGCACGGAAGCAGCTGGGTTGGCAGATACAAGGTGACCATGTGGACTTAGTCAATTCCCACATAAAAGGACTAAAATACAAATTCCTTAGCATGACATCCAAGGTACTTCACAATCCGACACCATCTTCCTTTCCAGATGAGGGAGTATTAGTATTTCTGAACCTGCCTCAGAATTAACGGAAGGAAACATTAATTAAAAGACAAAATTAGGTATTTAAGGGGAAGGAGTTGTGGGAGATCAAGATTTGGCCACCCTGAAATCTATCTCTTTACCTTGGTTGTTTTCTCTGA